CTGGCTGGGGAATTCTGGGAGTTGAAGTCCACCCTTCTTAAAGTTGCTGAGGTTGAGGAACACTGATCTAGATGTTTAAATTATCGAGGAAAGAATTGTGTAGACACAGGGTGCCTTTTCCATTACAGCAAAATTGTTCCGCTGTGCGTGAAGGGTGAAGCCTTGCTGTAACAATTAGACCGTTTTGCAGTGCTCCTAAAAATACTTTAATTTACCTAATTTCTCCCAAGGATGCTAGATAAAATGAAAAATGAACATATTTCAGACTAGTAGATACTTATAATTAAATTGAGCACAAACGAGGGAGCTGGTTGGCATATCCCTTAACCACCGACTACTTTGGAAAGGTTTGTACTTGTAATAAATAATAAATATCTCGGAATGGTTCTGCATTCTGGTAAATCAGGATCTAACCATCCTCCTCCCAGCAATCACAGCAGTGAAATCAGTAAGGAAGGCATCCTGCAGTTTGTTTCAGGCGGGATAAAGGCAGGGGGATAAAATGAGGAATAACCAGAGAATTAATTTTAATTTAATTTTAATTCAGCGTTAATCCTGCCCCAATCCTTTCCATAGACGCAGCTGCTTCCTGGAATATTGTGCCTGGCACATCACTCTAACCTCTTTTTTCAAACCACGGATAGTCTGAACCCCAGTTTCGTTTTGTTCTTGGCTTCTCTATAAAACATGCAAGAAAAGATCCCGGAATGAATGCTGAGTCTAATCGTTTGCAGTTTGTTTAACCCTTCGGCAGATCTGCTGCCTTGACCTGGCTGAACAGAGTGGAGGCCTCCTTTAATCCCTCTTGCTCCCCATAAAAAGGTGGGAACGCTCAAACAGACCTCCGTTCTGGCTTGTCCCAAGAAACCAGAGCTCAGAAGAACATGGCTTGACTGTGCTTTGCAAACCAGGTTAATCTGAGACGGCAACGGAATCTCTTCTGTGAATCGGGGTTTCCTGGAGCACCCCAAGTGCCTTCATTGCCAAAACTGCCACCAGAAATATGGGGTCTTTTGAAGACCCTTAAAAACCTGATAGTATAGGATAGAATATTAATTTCAGCATTCTCAAACACTCACTTTCTTCTGCAACTTAAAACAATGGTTTTTTTTCTTCCTGCATCTCTCTTTTCTCACTGAACACAATAGACCCCTCGTCAGTGGGGAAACTGAAATCCGGCCACCTGGCCAGAAAATACTGATCTGTCAAATCATTTCAAAGACCCCCACCATCTTTAAAAAGACCCTGTAGAAACAGGATTTTTTCCTACGATTCCACTGTTCTGCTCAGAGGCTCTTTTCTTTTTTTCCCACCAGAAGATTCCTATGAAAGGAGGTTCTACGTAGATGACGAAGAAGTCACCCTTACGTTGTACGACATCTGGGATCAGGTAATTCCTCTCTCCCTTTCTCTTTTCATCAGCCAGGAGAAGGAAAAATATGCCATTCAATCTAAAAGGAGAAAGATCCAACCCAATCAAAGTTTACAATCCTATACTCTTGATATTATAATCTTCCTGATAATCTGTGGTTGATTCAGCCCACGTGTAAAGTGACTAAAGTTTGTTCATTGGTGATTTAAGGCAGTGTTTCTCAACCTTGGCAACTTTAAGAGGCGTGGACTTCAACTCCCAGAATTCCCCAGCCAGCATGGCTGGCTGGGGAATTCTGGGAGTTGAAGT